GTTGTTGTTGGATATTTTTCAGAATGCACATATTTGTCCAACAGAGACAAGTTTTTAGAAATAGATTTGTCTGACAGACCATCAGCGTGGGTTGTTGGGGGGTGCTCTGGTGTGGTTTGCTCCTTCTTTCCTATGAAACATCTATCGTCCTTATCTCCCCTTCTTCTTTTTTATGTTTGTTACTCTCTTGCAACACCTCTAATCTTCTGGCGCTCATATGACCTTATGCAGAGTTGCGAGCGCCGTAAAACCTCTACTAAAACAAAAAAGACCTTCAGCTCTATTTTTTTTTAACCAAGAGTCTTGTTTAACCTAACTACTAAATGTTTGCCTTGCAGGATAGTGTTTACACTGCAGTTTAGTAGTGTTGAATGTATTCTCTTCTTAAAGCCATGGGTAGTTGGCGGGTGCTCGGTGCTCTGATGTGGCTTGCTTCTTCTTTCTTATCAAACATGTATCGTCCTTTTCTCTTCTCCTTCTTTTCTGTGTATGATGTTTTCTTGTATCGCCTCTAATCTTTGGCACTTATATGGCCGAGTTCTGTTGCAAGTGCTGTAAAACTCTTACTAAAAGGGGGGGGGGGGGAAAGCCTTGTTAACGTGGAGAAGTGCGAGTTCTGATGACTGGCCTGTGGTGACCTTAAAGTGTAGAATTCTTTTTAAAGCTCTCGGCTTTTTTAAGTATGACATTTTTTCAAAGAAAGGTAAATTATTAATTAGAAGGTGTGGTCTTATCAATAAACTGAGAGATGCTTTTCTAATACATTTGTGAACAGATTAGCAAATAGCTATAGAGTTGGGGGTTTTTATTTGTTTTTTCAGTCTTGCGTCAGCCCATTGTGACCCCAGGTCTACTTTGAGCCTCCTGTCTTTGCATTGTTAATCACAAGTTTTATCATGCTTTGCCTATGGGCTCAGGACATTATTATGGAAAAACTGTAACATGACATCTGCACTGGGAGAAAAGTTAATTGGGTGATGGGCTGAGGGCTTGGTGGGGGGGAGATTAGTTGGAGTAGATAAAATTTCACATTTGTAGATTGAATTTCACATATCTTTTCACCCTTTCACCTCCAGGCCTGAGTGTATCGCTCTCTTTGACAGAGTCAATGGGCTGGTCTCGGAGTAAAAGTGCATTTCTGTGTGTCGTGAATATCGGTTTTTCCCTTGGTGTGCAGGCATGAAAATTCTTTATCTTATTCTATGGTTCAATTTTGTTAAATTACTGTTAATGTCTTTTTTTTTCCTTCTCAGTGTTCATTAACTGCGAGGCGTGTGTTTTCAATTTAACGCAAAGTACATGACCAGGCAGAGAAGGGGTTAACGACATTGAAGCTTTTTGCCCTTTTTGCATGTTTGGAAGGTGGAGCTTTGTTGTGGCATCGGTGGCCTAGTGGTCAGGCTACCGGACTCGTAATCGTGAGGTTGGGGGTTCAGGGGTTCGAGCCGCGGGCCCGACGTTGTGTCCTTTCCACTTCACCCTTGTGAAAATGGGTACCCAGCTATAGACAGTGAAAGATCTTGTCAGTTTGTTAGTGTTTGAGCGCTTA